ACTATTCCTTCTTCACTGTTTCTCATTTTTGCATTCCAGTCACCAGTTATCATTAACACATCTTAATTGCATGTTGAGTCGATTTTGGACTGTAAGATTTGATAAAAATTCTCATTTTCTTCCTCTTTGGCTGCAGATGTAGGAGTATATATTAGAATAATGGTTGCATTAGTGGGTCTTCCTTTTATGCAGTGGATATTATACTATCACTCACAACATTGTATTTCCAAATGGAACTTGAAATTGACTTTTTTTTACTAAGAATGCAACACCATTCTTCTTCTGTTTTTCATTCTCTGCATAGTATACCATATGATTATCTGATTCAGAGGGGCCAGTGTTGTCCATCTCATCTCACTAATGCCTAGTATGTTAATGTCCATGCATCCCATTTCAGTTTTAACAATTTCCTGTTAAACAAGTCTCCAGTTTTAAGAAATCAGGACCTAGTTGACAGGCCTCAGTATTTAAAAGTTGGTTGGGCCCAGCCAAAGACCAGTTTGGAGCTTCCTGATGTTAATTGTGTTTGGGGAGAACATTGTTCTAAGAGGTACAGCACTTGTCTGTCAGTTTGCTGTGTTGAAATAACTTGTGAGTTGCTGTGATACTGAAAGTTGTACTACTGGTATGTTAGATACCATAGGGGTTACCCATAGTGGACAGGTTTTGGTGGAGCTCCCTGATTAAGACACACTAGGAAGCAGGATGGACTGTCTCCTTCCTAAATAGCAGGCCTTTGAAAACCATATGAACTAATGGAATGAGGATAGTTACAATAGTATAGTGGTAGAACCCAGGTTGGAAGCCAGTTGAAATAAAGAAAAATAATAACAAACACTGTTTCATAATTGGAACATAGAATGCACATAGCTTGAATGTTGGAAAAGTGGAAATTGTTAAAAATAAAATGGATCCACTATACAGGGTACCAAACAGAGCATCCACCATATAGAATGCTCTTGGACAGGTTCTAAGGACAAGAGATTGAGTCCCTCATCCTTGCCACACAGCCTTCCCTAAAAATTTCTGGATGACAGAAGAGAAACACAAAATGTGGTGTCTATTTTTAAAGGATTTCTGTTACAAGAGCCATGGAGTATATATTTTCATCTGTATCTGATACTTTGATGGTGAGTCTTAGAAGTAACTGAAATGAATGGACTTTAGAAAGAAGAAGACTGCACTGTCAGCTACCATCTGAGTCTTTTGTTTGTTTCCCAGCTCTATTTGCTCCCTGTTCTGTCCCAAGAGGCTAATCTCTATGCACTTGAGCACCTTTCCCAGCTGGTGCCTTGATTCATCCTAGGGGATACACCTGCAGGGGGAGGTAGAAGGGCAGGCAGCAATGTTTTTCTCCAGTTTCCTTTCTGCTTTGGGTCATGTAACTGCCTTACTCCATGGCAACAGATCTTACTGGGAGGCCCTTCCTTAATAGCTCTTAGCTCCCTCTGGGTCCTGGTAACAGTTTTTCTCCCTTGTCCATTTAGTCCTAGGGAAGTACTTGTTTCCTTAACCCTGTTTGTACCCCTGCATAGAGTCCCTTCATTAAAGTTCTTTTTCTTTGAACTTTCTGGAACACTTTCTGTTGTCTGCCAGAACCCTGATGGTTACATTCACTGTGTGTTAACTGTAACTGAATACAGTGGCATTCTTTGTAATTACTGAACTGACTCAATAAAGCCAACTTGGACTGTCATCACCCAGAGGGTAGAGTCGTGTATTATTCATTTTTTCATATTTCAGTGCCTAACGGAAGAAGGGTTTGGTCCACAGTAGCCCTTCAGTGAATGTTCTTTTTCCCCAAGTTAATGAAATCACTAGTGAGCCAAGTGATTGGTACTGACAGTGGTGTGCGTTCCTGATGAGATTCCACTCCACTATTGCTATTAAACAGAAGTTTTCCAGGTTTTCTGTTTCAGACAGTCAGGGCGTGACAGCTCATGCTGAGCAAGGCACTTCAACACATGTAACTGCTGAGTTTGGCTGAATTTGAAGTCTGACCTCTATATGCTGTTTTTCCTAATTGTTAGAAGAGCAAATTGTAAAAGACTTCTTATCCTCACTATGTCCTCAGTTCACCTCACAAAGGTAACTGCTGTTGTCAGTTCATTGACCATCTTTCTATGCCTTTTTGCTAAACAAATAAAAACATAAAGAAAGCTGTATGTAGGCTTTAAAATTTTGTATAGTGAAGCATGCATTTATATTTTCCCTCTTTTTTTTTTAAGTATCATAGTTAGGAAAGCATTATTTCTTAATTGGTTTTTGAAGTCTGTTTTTTCTAGTGGTTTTGGAGTAATACACATTTGGATTCTTAATCCACCTAGAATTAATTTTTATTTGCGGTAATGGGCTCAGACTTGGCAGTGGTTGTGAGGATGGTTCAGAACTGGGCACAGTTTCTTTGTACATAGTGTTGCTGTGAGTCAGAAACTGCTTAATGATGCCTAACAACATGTAGAAAAGTACTTTTTTCCCCTTTGGAAGTCAGTGGTACCTATATATTTTAAAGCATTCTTTTTCTTACTGGTTTGAAATTATTATATACTTAGGTTTTTCTTGAGAACGGATCAATCTTTGTTCTTCTACCAAAGATTTTCCAAAGATTAAATTGTTAAGGCACAGAACAAAAAAAAATTTTAGTTTATTATGCATATTTCTGTACTTCATTTTGTATGGATATGTTATCTTTTCTATTCTTGCCTATCTTACTATAAATACCTTTTTAATATCAAGAAATTTGAATTTGGGATTACATTTAGATCTAATAATAATTAGGATTATATTGGACCCAATAATTTACTTTGGAATTAACTGTAGAAGCCATTTTGTTGCTTTTGCATTTAAGACTATAAAGTTGAATCAGGAAATTGATTTGGGAGTTATTTTTAAGAATGTGAAATTTGGATTTAAACTTAAGGATTTACATTATCTTCAAAAGTTTGTTCTGGAGATTTGTTTTAGGCCTTTCCTATTATGTTTAATTTTGTTTCTTTCATCAAAAAAAAAGAGAGAAAATAAAATACTTTTTTAAAAACATACTGTATTTTAGTGAGAACTTTGAGCTACTTACAGTTTGCTTTGCTGACCAGTTAATGGTCATATCTAATTAAATCTGTAATCAAAGAATGCTTTAAAATAGCAGTTCAGTTTCTCCCCTTTGTCTCTGTCTTCTGCTCTGTTTCATTTACTCAGATTACCTAAGACCATGATGATAAAGCCAAAGTTGAGGATCTGTACATATTTGGCTTTGCTCTATAATTGAAAGCTAGATGTATTTGTCCATTTTCACTTAAATGTGTGGGATTTTTTTTTTACCTTTCTTGATTTTGGGTTTTCTTAATATTAACAAAAGGTTACAGAAAACGTGCATTTCCTTCATTCATTGTTGCACAATTTCCTCCCCACTGCCACCCAGTCCATTTTGCTATGCATCTCTTATTCTGGACTGTGGTCATGCAGGTAACACCTAATTATATATTCCTTTTAAACAGTCTTTCCCTCATCTTTTCAAATGCAACATTCATTATTTATCCTCTTTTTTCCCCTCAATTTCCCTCCAACTCCCATGTTTGTCAACTGTTTCAGTGTACTAGTCTTTATGCTAACAACACCTGGAAGTGACAGTGATGAATAAGACATGGTTATTTTATTTCCTCTGGAAGGAACCATGAACTTTTTTCATAGCAAATAATGCTTTCTTTTTCATCCTAGTGAAGTAGATGAACCAAAAGACTATTAGTTGCCCATGATTTGACTGCACTCTAGAACCAACTATTTGGAAAAGGGTGTAGAAGTTTGAAACACATCCCCTTTCACTTCTCACTTTTTTGGCAATAGGAAGCCTTTTATGCAACAATGAACAATTTCTTTTTTTTAAGTGAACTGGTGGGGTGGGGCAGGTAGAGAGGAAAATGTGTCACATTGAATGAGTGAAAAATCCAAGTTTCTATAAACTTTCATTAAAATCACAATTTAAAAACTGTACACATGCCAAAAAATACGAAAGAAGCCCCAAGTCTCCAGTTAAGCGTCCCTACATAGAGACTGGGTTAGGACTCCTGGAGAAATGGACCTCTAGCAACTAACAATATAGTGAGATAATAGAACTCTGTTGGAATATAGGTGGTTCTAGATGATGGGCCAGAATCAACTTTTTGGGTTGCCAAGCGGGAAGAAGGGGGGAGGCTCCCCTCTCTAGGATCTAAGGGTATGCCCAGCAAGCTTCTGCTGCCTACTGTACCTCAGGTTTCAAGGAGAGAAGGAAGAGAGAATCACAAATGGGGCTCCCCTCTCCAGGATCCTAGGATTCGCCTGGCGAGCTTCTGCTGCCTTCTCAACCCTAGTTTGCAAGAGAAGGATGAGTTAGAGGAGTTAATCTAGCCAGGAGTCAAGTGGTGGTGCCAAGAGGCTCAAGTCCTGAATTTCGATGGCTTCTGAGCTACAGTGAGGAAAGGTCTGTTCAAAGGTCCAAACCTCACTACGAAGTCCAGGAGCAGCACTATCTGAGTGTATAGCAGATACGCTTTATTTAGAGTGCATGCTTTGGTGAAAGTGGACTGAGGCTTGTTTGGCCTCCACCCATAAAGATTTTTTTTTTAAAACAGTGTTTATAACTAAGAAAATTATAACCATTTATTATGTTTGTTCCCCTGTGAAATTACCTGTCAAGCAGTTACTGGGGAGATTGTTAAGGTTTTATAAGCGTCCTTCAAATGTAGATAAAGATGATGATCTTATGGCAGTATGACTTTGCTTTTTTTGAGGGTGGAATTTTTCTTGTCATTTTGCTTTGAAAGAAATACTTACTTTTCATTTTAACTTGTATTTGTCTCTGAAACCGATTTGATTTAATAATATTTAGACGTTCCTGTTGCTATGTCTAGGTTCTTCTTTGGAGAGATCATTGCTCCATATTGGTAATTCTTATGCCTCTGTGTACTGAAGTTTAATGGCTGAGCTACACAGTTATATTTAACAGTGTTTGTAATTTTTTATAGGGGTGGATTTGTCAAAGATAGAAAAACATCCAGATGCAGCCAACCTCCTTCTAAGACTAGATTTTGAAAAAGACATAAAGCAGATACTCCTGTTCCTTAAAGATTTAGGTCTAGAAGATAACCAGCTGGGATCATTCCTGACTAAGAATTATGCAATTTTTTCAGAAGACCTTGAAAATCTTAGGACCAGGTAGGCTTTTTTTTTAGAGTTATACTCATCTTTGGAGGAAATACATCTTGAAGGTATTTTATCAAGTCTTTGCTGTACAGATCTACTGAGATAATGAATGTGAATATTACCAATTAAACCTTCTTCTGTATAAATGAAATATTTAAAACAGTCCTCTTTCAACTCTCATTATTTAGAGAACTCTGTTGGCTTAGTGATAAGAAGTACTACCATCTCAAAGGCTGGTGGTTGATTCCACCAGTTGCTTCATAGGAGAAGGATGATCAGTCTTCTCCCATGCAACTTGTTGTTGTTGTTATGTGCCGTCGCGTCGCCTGCGACTCATAGCGACCCTATGTACAACAGCCCTAAACTCCACTCTGTCCTGTGCCAATCGCACTGTCTCTGACACTCCCATCCCAATTATCCCAATCACTGAATCAATCCACCTCATAGAGGGCCTTCCTCTCCTGCGCTGTCCCTCCAACCTCCCAAGCATGATGTCCCTCTCCAAGGACCGGTCTCTCCTCACAACATGTCCAAAGTATGTTAGACGTTGCCTCAGAATCCTTGCCTCCAAGGAGCCGCCCGGTTTAACCCTTTCCAGGACAAATCTGTTTGTTTTCCTAGCAGTCCATGGTATTCTCAATACTCTTCTCCAGCACCACAGCTCAAAGGCATCAATTCTCCTTCTATCCTCCTTGGTCATTGTCTAACTCTCTGATGCATAACAGGTGTTGAACTTGAAATCCAATGTGGTCTCCTTGTGCAAGTTCAAATCCTGCTCACTGCGGAAGTGGGAACTAGTGACCATACAGATGGCAAACCCATGCAACTTACAGCTTCTAAAAAAGCTGGGGTTCTGCTTTGAACTGGTTCCTACTACATGGTTCATACCAACGATAACATTTTGGTTTCAGCTTATCAAACTTAACCCTTGATTATTTCAAGCTTATCGCTGACTGATTTTGAAATTGGATTACTAAAAGTACTAAACATGAACTTTTTTAATGTTTCAATCTGATCTATTTTTTATTATAGACACTTGATAGTCCCTTGCCAAATTACTGTATAATTTGTTTAATTATTTCCATAAGAAGGATATTTTGGTTATTCTTTTCTTTTAATAACATATCTGTCAACATCTTTGAAATCCAAAATTGCATAAATGGTTAAGCACTTAACTGTTAGGAGAAAGATTGTTCAAACTCACCTGGAGGCACTGCGGGAGAGGCCTGATGAGCTGCCTCTGAAAGATCACAGCTCCTTCCACACAGACACGGTCACCTGGAGTTGGGATCAGCTCATCGGCACCAATAAGGCAACAGACTTCTCAGTGTGGTCCTTCCCAGTCCCCACTGATAGACATGGGTTTGTTTTCAGACTTGCATTGTTAATAACAATGCCACTGTGGTTCTTTTTCTATAGCTGTGATTTCACGCCTATAAGAATATAAGAAATATTGGAAATATTTCTATAAGTGTAATATTGCTTTCTTGAAATGCGAATTCTATTTGCATTTGTAATTTTAATAAATACTGCCAAATTGTCTTCCAAATAGGTTGTTGGCCGCTCTCCTGCCAACAGTGTGAAAGTGCCTATTTCTGAATTATCCTCATTAATACAGTGTTGTCACACATTCATTTCCTCTAATCTGGAAGACCTCCTCATTGGTTTTTGGTTTTGTTAGTTGTATTATTTTGTTTAGCCTGTCTACCTGGTTTGTTTGATTTCATGTTTTTGTTGGTAGTTTTGTTTTATTTGTCAGTTTAGAAATTTTATTTATTTAACCTCTGTTTCTTTAGGTAAGATGTAAAAAGAACTGTCTGGTAAACACACTTGTTTATTTTTGCTTGTTAGTGAGAATTAAATAAGAGTGTCTTTGCCGTATTTAAGGTATCTACTAAAAGCTGTCTTTTGTTATGTACATAAATTTTTAAAGTAGTTAAACTTTCTGTATTTTACTGTGTTATTTTGGTTTCCAGGAATTTTGGAAAATGTCTTGGTTATAAAATATGCTATGAGAGATTGTAAAAATTGTTGACTGATTAAAGAAAATTTACGAGTCATTGCCAAAAATGTCCTTTGTAGCCTTTTTTTTTGGCATGTATGGTAGGATGGGCAGGGTGGCCTTTTAACTTCAGATACAGTTCTTTTTCTTGGAAAGCAGCAGACAGACATATCTTCTTATATTTGTCATATTTTTGTTTCTCTAGGGTGAATTATCTACAGTCAAAAAATTTCAGTAAGACAGATATTACACAAATGGTCAGAAAAGCACCGTTTTTACTGAATTTCTCAGTGGAAAGGCTGGATAACAGACTGGGATTTTTTCAAAAAGAACTTGAACTTAATGTGAAGAAGGTAAAAAGGGGGGGAGGATTTGTACATTTCTCTGTCACGTACATTTTTGAAATGCTAAGTTTTATAATTCTAACAGATGCTTAGCCCTTGGGAATCTTACCCATGCTTGATGTTTTTGTGAGATGATAGAATTACCCTGTTAGATTAAACATCGTTTGTCATTAGGGGTCATCAGGTTTGTTCTGACTCAAAGCTACCCTTCGTCAACAGAGTGAAGCTTTACCTGTTCCTGTGCTATTCCCGCATTCTCTGCTGTGTTGAAGCCCATTGTTCCTTGCTGCCATCTGTTCAGCTCTTCATTATTGCTTCATTATTAGTACTATGGTTACCTTAGCTACTCTGTGTTCGAGAGCAAGTTTCAGAGTCTCTTCTGACATCCATTTTCTGGTTTTTCTTCTTTCCTGTCATTTTTAGGACTTTTTTTTTTATGTAGGATACTGTGATGTCATCCCCATACCTCATCTGATCTTCAGTCCTTAGTGTTCAAAACCATTCTTCTTTTTTTTTTTTAAGATAAAAGATAGAGATTTATTAGAAAACTGCATTCCAAAGGATCAGCCCTCTCTCCTTGAAAGGAAAGTTGTAGGAGAAGACCCAAGCCATCCTTGAGATGGTCTCTAACTGCAGATAGGATATACTCAGGGTTTGTGTAGTGCTTTGATTCAGGTGGTCTTGTTTTATTCTTTAGCTTCAGCCTGTGTAGGAATAATAACGGTCTGTTCCACATTCAGTCCTAGGCTTTTTCTGATTGGTGATGTTGAGTTTCTCCACCGTCTCTTTCTGTAGATGTGGTTGATCTGATTTCTGTGTATCCTATCTGGCAAGTTACACATGTATAGTCATTGTTCATGTTACTGAGAAAGGTATTTCCATTGAAAAGTCATTGGTTTTACAAATTTCTGTCATGCAGTGTCTAGCATTATATTTTTGGCCAAAGCCAGATTTCTGACTGTGATCCTTCTTGTTTCTAATTTGTGCCTTCCATTCACCAGTAATTATCTTTCTATCATGATTACTTCTTTGATCAATTTCAGACTACAGAAGTTGGTAAAATTTTCTCTTTCTTCCTCTTTATCAATTAGAAGTTGGTACATAAATTTGAATAATCAATTAGCTTTCCTTAAACTGTCTTTGTGTGTGCCAGCGAGTCAGAACTGACTTATTACTGACCCTCCAGCAGGTTTTCAGAGGCACAGTAGAATATTGCCCATCCTTTTCCCATGGAGCAGCTGGAGGATTCAAACCATTTACCTTTGGGACTGCAACACAGCTTTTTACCAGTAGGCCACCAGAGGTCCCATTCTTCCTTGTAGGCATGTGGACGTTTATTCTGTCGACAGCAATATACTTCAGGGTAGATATTTAAATGCTTTTTCGACACAGGATTTTGTTCAGTTGTACATAGGGTCATTGTGCATTGGAGCCCGCTTGAAAGCACCTAACAACATTTCTCTTGACTGAATCGTATCTTAAATTTAAACTCTATATTTCTAGCAATGTGATTTTTCTAAGCTAGGTTAAGATGCATGTACAGTAATAATATCTTGTGTTTTTTTTAAACCCTAGACTAGAGATCTGATCATTCACCTCCCAAGGCTACTAACTGGAAGTCTGGAGCCTGTGAAAGAAAATATGAAGGTAGGAAAACTTCATCTTAGGCTTTATGATGTAGTCTTCCTTCTAAGTGTTTTCCTCTGCACATAATGGATTTTCTATTGTTATGTTAAAAAGAAAGCTATATTTTAAAAAGAAGTTTCTAAAGAGGAAATAACATTTAACAAGCACTTTGCTTCATTTAATGATATTTTTGCATGTTGACCAGGTGCTTGGGAGTAAATTAGCTTGCAGACATTGAGGCCTCTGACCCCAGAGTAATGAGTGAGCAAGGTGGCTGCTACTTGGAAATGATTCAGGTTACTCAGCATGAGAGTCTGTGTCATTTACGTGGGAGACGAGTCTTTTTGGAATGTGGATCCAAGAGACCCCTGTGAATACTCCCAGTGAGGAGAGTATCATCATCACATTGATCTGTTTGGCAGCCTGTGCCAGTTGCCAGCCTAAGCTCTGACAGAGTTGACTGGCCACTCTATTGTCCTTCTTCCAAGGAAATGGAAGGGGGGTAGGAGGTTATCCAAAGCTCTATGACTTAGACTTGCCTATTTTTGAAGTGCTTTAAATATTTCAAGGGAGCTCTGGTGCCCTACTGAGCAAGAAGTTGGGCTGCTGACCCAGTCGCAGTCAGTTTAAATCCACCAGCTGACTCACGGGAGGAAGGTGGCCGGTTGTCTGCCATGCAGTTTACAGCCTCTGAAAACTGACAGGAGGGTCAGCTGTGAGTCGTTTATGACTCCACAACTATGCGCAGTAGGTAGTAAAGTACTTCATATTCAGTCACTGAGGGAGTTTTTCATTGAGCATCTAACCCAAGAATTCTGCTGGGGACATGCCCCCAACTTACCTGAAGTTTACAGTCTAGTAGGAATATAAAACTGTTGATGAGAGCAATAAGTTGGTGGGGCACATAGGATACTATGCCCACATTTAGGTGTTTGGCTTTAAGAATGCTACCTGGAATTCTGACATTGATTTTCCAGGTAACCTGTACAAGGGTTAGGCTGGGAACACAGAGACACAAAGGGCACTCGGAGAAGTTTCCTGCTCTTAGGGGTAGGACATGTACAGATGACCAACCACTGTGCCCTTCACTGTTCTATGTTATAATTATGATCAGTCTTGTGATAGGTCATCTTTCTGGTGACGCCCGTGCTTGTGAATCTCTCTTTCTCAGGAGAGGCCTTCAGAATGAGGTTACCCCAAAAGCAGGAGGCTTACTCCCTGGATGGCACTGGCAACGCTGTCTTCTAGATTTTAAAACATATTTACGTGAATCAGTGTGTTCTCTGGCCTAGTATCGACATGACTCTTCCTCTTCATGATCCATGGAGATCGTTGATGGCTCAGTGATAAGGAGTTGCTCTGCTAACCCAGACACGTGTGATTTGGATCCACCAGCTGTTTCCATGGGAGAAAAATGAGCACTCTCCTCTCATATAATTAGCAGCCTCTAAAAACCCGCTGGAGACCAGCCATGAGTTGGCTCCATCTTGATGGTACCCAACAACATTCATGGTTTATAGCAACTTGGGCTTTTATTTTGTTTTTAGGTTTACCGACTTGAATTTGGTTTTAAACGTAATGAAATTCAACATATGATCACCAGAATTCCAAAGATGTTAACTGCAAATAAAAGGAAACTCACAGAGACTTTTGACTACGTACACAATGTGATGCACATCCCCCACCACATCATTGTCAAGTTCCCTCAGGTAATACATTCACCCCTCTCAGGTAAAAGCGGTCATTCCTGTTCATGGAAGCTGCTGGCCAGCTCCTTACCGCTGTTCTTTAACATTTACACCTCCAGGATGCACATGTGTCTCTCCTGAAGACAGGTAAGTGATTGGCTTACTTCCCTCGGCTTTCTTCCTGTTGTTCTGCCTTGTGTTTTTTCCTGTTTAAATTTGAAGCAGATCACGTCCCTTAAAGCCCCTTTCAACGCTCCATGCACTTTTAATCCACAGTCTATATGAAATAACAAGCGTAAACCGTTTTAGTTCACAACTCGTGCCAAAGTATGAATATATTCTCTAAGCTAGTCAGACTTTCCTGTACCCTAGCTAGTGAGCAACTTTATCGGCTTGTTTACAAAAATATATGAGTCTAGAAACCTTGCTGAATTATTTATGCTCACTTGTCAGTCCTTGAAACTATGCTGCTTATCACATAATTATTGTTGTTGTTAGATGCTTTTGAACCATTTCCAAGTCACAGCAATAGAACTGTCCAATAGAACACATATTAAATAGTTGTTGAACACATGATTGATTTAATATCAGGTCAACTCTGATTCATATTGATGATAGGGCAGGATAGAACAGCCCCATCAGGTTTCCAGGGTTGGAAATCTTTTTGGAAGCTGACTTCCATGTCTTCCTTGGAGTAGTGGGTTCAAACCACTAACAGTTCAGTTAGCAGCAGAGCACTTAACCTGTGCCACCAGGGCTCCTCTAAACCTCAGTGATCCAGTCACTCTTTCAGTACTGATTTCAGTGTCCACTCTGTGCCTGACAGTGTGTAAGTCCTAAGGATGCAAAAGTCAGAGACAACTAGTATTCCATGGGACATGTAATATATATAATATAAAAGACTAGTTTTTAAAAATTTAATTTCTTTACATAATATGAAAGAATCTTAAAGTCTTAACAGAGCTGCTTAATTAATTTAGAAGCAGAAAGAGAAATAACACATACTAAACTTATTCTGAGCCTGCCTTGTCTTTACTGCTTTCCCTACATTGATTTACATAATCTTCACAACCGCCACGTAAAAGAGCAACTAGAGTGACTCTGGGGGCACCTGGTCTGCCGTACTTTCCTGAGGCTCAAATATTTGAGTTTTCCGTCTCAAATAGGGAATTTGAGTGGTGTAGCCAGTAAGTAGTTGCACTGCTAACCCAGACATGGCACCTCTCTGGCAAATCAAATCCATCAGCCCTCCGAGGGAGAAAGAGGGACAGTCTCCTCCCATGAAGTTTACAGCCTCCTGAAAAACCAGTGAAGGGTCAGCTATGGTTCTGACTCCATGGCAATGAATGACTTCTCTGATAGGCTTCTACCTTCCACAGATTCTGGCTTTCACAAAGTTTACTGTATCATTATTCCTGTTTTATAGATGAAAAAACTATACATAAAGAGATTAAGTAACTTGCCTGAGATTACCCAGTGCCAAAATGGAAATTCTTGACTGTCAAGTTTAAAAGTGCATGCTCTTAACCACTAGACAGTCCTGCCAGTCTTAAGAACTGATGTCATGAGAGGGGGGAGTAAATGGAGCTCAAGACACAGAGAGAAACTTTCCCAGGAGAGGAAACTTAGCTGGACAGATACTTCTAAATTACTTGTTTAAATACACAAATTTTAAGTACTCTTTAAGCCAAGCTCCTGGGAAGCCCAGTCCCAGAACAGTAAGTAGTTTGCAAATTCGGATTCTTAGCCTCTTAGGGATGTGTACTGACAAAACAGGAAAATAACAAACACATTATTTGTAAAAAGACATTAACAGACAATAAGTCTTTGGGAAAACAGACACTGAGCTTTGTTGGCTCGTGTTTTTAAAGTGTTGTGAAACTTTCTCAAGCAGGTATATTGGTGTGTATGTCTTGTGGTGAATTAAAAATGAGAAAAATGATAATGACTTAATAGTTGTAATTAATTTAGTCCGTTCTAAGCAGAAATTGTGGAAAGTAAAAGGTAAAAAAGGCAGTTTTAGGATAATAAATGAAAAAAATCACAAAGGAAAGGAGTTCTATGTTATTGTTAGGTGCCATCAACTTACAGCAACACTCTCTATAAGAAAGAGAAAAAGCCCTTCCCAGCCCTGCACCGTCCTGACTGCTGTGCTTAAGCCCATTGTTGCAGTCAGTCTGTGGCACTGAGGGTCTTCCTTTTTTCCCCTGACTCATTACTTTTCCAATTGTGATGTCTTTTCCCCAGGGACTGGCCCCTCCTAATAACAAAGTCTGATCATCTGTGGTTTTAAGGAAAGCTCTGGCTACACGTCCATGCCAGATTTGTTTGTGCTTTTGGCAGCTGATAGCGTATGTATTCTTCACAGTTCAAAAGCTTCACGTCCTCTTTATTCATTGCCCATCTTTCATATGCACATGGAGCATTGAAAGACACCGCGGCTTAGGTCAGGCACATCTTCATCCTCAAAGTAGCATCCTTGCTCTGTAGCATATGTCATTTTATTTTTAGAATTAAGTATGTTATATAAAGGATCCTCCTAGAGCCCATCTCTGTCCTGCTGCACTGGTTTCTGAGAAAACAAAGCTTTATTCCACAGAAGAATATGTAATTTTAATTCTTAGACTACGGGGCATTTTTTAAAAACTAAAATCACAAGTTTGCTGATCACTAACTAGGTTAGCAGGGGTTGGTGTGCTGGACTCTGAGACTGCTCAGGACAGGGCAGGCTTCAGAGCTGCTGTACATGGGGTCGCTGTGAGTCACAGGGGCCTTGACGGCACATAACAGCAGGATGACATTTTTATGATAGTAATATAGGCATCCCAACTGGCCAGCAATTAAAAAAAGGAAGAAAATAGCCTCAATCTAAGTGATAGCTTCTACTCCCCACTGCTCACACAAATCTCTTCATCATCAAGTAGCCTTTAGCCAGAATATCTAGTCATGCGCTAAATGATGCTACTACACAGTGTTAGATTTGGAGACCAGTGGGAGCTTCAGAGTCATTTGTGGTTTGTTTTCCTTTGTTAAATGATAATTTGGTAGGTCAGAAATGAGTCTTTTATATTCATGAACAATAATAGTATGATAATAGGAATTTAGTTCTCAAAGCCAATGCAGTGTAGCATGTCCTTTACAATCTGAACTCAGAATTGTTAAGTCCGTTCTGACTCATAGCAGTCAATGGGTTTCCGAGGCGGTAAAAATTAAAAGAGACTGCCCAAGTGTGTCCCTTGAAGTGGCTGATAGATTTGAACTGCCACCCTGTTCGTTAGCTGCCTGACGCATTACACACTATGCCACCACAGCTCTTTTTTGATTATCTACTGTGGCTGTAACAGAAATACCACAAGGAGATGGCTGTAACAGATTTACGCACAAGGCCATGGGCTAGAAGGCATCAGTAGTAGGAACAGCATCTGTCTCCTCTCAGCATCTGGGGAGCCCGTGTTCCTTGGAGAGCTCCCTGTGCCTTGTCACCAGTCTTCCCTGGGTCTGGGTGCTCAGCACAGAGACTCCGAGTGCACAGGACGCTCCTTCCTGATGCTGCTGTTGTTATGTGACGTCGAGTTGCTTGTGACTCTTAGTGACCCTATATACAAAAGCCCTAAACTCTGCTCTGTCCTGTGCCAATCACACTGTCTCTGACACTCCCACCTGATTATCCCAGTCACTGAATCAATCCACCTCAAAGAGGGCCTTCCCCTCCTGCGCTGTCCCTCCACCCTCCCAAGCATGATGTTCTTCTCCAAGGACCTGTCTCTCCTCACAACATGTCCAAAGTATGTTAGACGTTGCCTCAGAATCCTTGCCTCCAAGGAGCCACCCGGTTTAACGCTTTCCAGGACAAATCTCTTTGTTTTCCTAGCAGTCCATGGTATTCTCAATACTCTTCTCCAGCACCAAAGCTCAAAGGCATCAATTCTCCTTCTATCCTCCTTGGTCATTGTCCAACTCTCTGATGCATAACAGGTGATTGCGAAGACCATGGCCTGTATCAGACGCACCTTAGTCTCCAGAGAGACACCATTGCTCTTCAGTACTTTGGAGAGGTCCCTAACAGCAGACTTTCCCATGGCCATGCGCCTTTTAATTTTCCTGGCTGCTGGTGCCAAGACTGTTGACTATGGAGCAAAGCAAACTAAAGCTGTGTACAATCTCAATCTCTTCACCATCCATCCTGATGCTGCCAGTTGGTCCAGTGGTGAGAATCTTTGTCTTCTTGACCTTGAGCCTCAATCCATATTGGAGGCTGTAGTCCTTCACCCTCTGCAGCAAGCGCTTCAGGTCCTCCTCAGTTTCAGCAAGCAGGGTTGTGCCATCTGCATAACACAGATTGTTGATAGCTCTTCCACCAGTCTTGACCCCACATTTCTCCTACTGAGGCATAATCTCTATTTTATTTTTATTTTTCTGTTGGTTTGCTTACAAAGTTGTATGTATTGTGTTTCACACCATTCTTCATTCACATTATGTTTCATACAATCATTCCCATGCATTATGTCCTATAAAATTAATCACCATTGGACTAAGCCCATCATTACTCTGCCTTTTCAGGTCCCCACCAGATCTTTCCGGTTTCCTATACCCTCTTCCTCCGTCCACCAAATTATGCAACCCTGTGATGTCACCCCTACTCATCCTCACCTCTCTGCTCCCACCCCTTCCCTGCTTGGGCCCTATACATGTTTTTACTAGTTATACTTCTGTTTTTACATTAATGGTCTTAGGCAGTATTTATCCTTATGAGACTGAAATTGACTCAGATAGACAGCCTAATCCCATAAGTGCATCCTGGCTTCTTAGCATTTATGACACCTAAGATGATATGGAAAAATAATGGCTTAGCCAAGTGGACACATACTGTAGGTGCACAGAATTCAGTCCACGGCAGCTTTTCAGAGCACAGAATGGAAGATAATTAGAGTACGCAGGACACCATTTAGCCCATTACTCGGTATAAAGCTTGTTTTTGCAGCAACAGTTAAGGGAGGATCTTTTTTGTACTTAAAGCAAGCCAGCCTAGTTTAGTTTGCACATTATTTTTTTTGGGGGGATGGGGGGTTGGTTTTCAGAGTACTTTTAATTTTTTAGCTGTCATTTTTCTTAGCATATTTCCAAGTGGTCTGTAATTATTTTGTGAAAACAGAAAAAGATCATCACAAGCTATATGGTCTGTCTAGTGTCCTCAGTGCATATATAATATAGTAGAACTTTAGATGTATCTCTGTGTGGGGTTCATTACAGACTTGCCAGGGAGTATCACAGTTTGTCTGAGACGTTTATCCTGGCCTGGTTTCCCAGTGGCTTTGAAGGAATTAACATGCTTCTGATTCCTTTTTACAGTGTCCCACACTTAACTATGCCCTGGAAGTTCTACTTGATTTATTTGCTCTTAGTTATAGTTAATAATGGCAGCAGGAATTAAAAATAATAGGAAGCTTCACAGATTCTAAAATCCTAGTGATATTTTGATGTCATGACCTCTGTTATGTGAGTGGTTTTTAGACTGAACAGACATTGGAACAATCTAGAGGAGTTGGTAAAACAGGTTTCTGTACCCCACTTTTTAAGTAAGTTTAGGGAGGGACTTGAGAAACCTTAGTGTCATAGAGATCGACCTGTTAGAAAGATGTTGATGGTTCAAATCCGTTACCTACTCTATGCGAAAAAGATGGATAATCTCTACCCTTGTAAACCTACAGCCTTGGAGCCTGGTAGAGAGTCACTGAGTCCAGATAAACTTGATGAGGGAAGTGGGTTTGACTTCAGGGCAGAAACTGAAGATTTGCTTTTCTAAGAAAGATCTCGACTGTCTCTGGAGTCCTCGATGGTCTTTGTCAACAGTGTAGCCATTAACTGTTGGATAATTGTTCTTTGTGTCCCTTTTTATAATTTTTTAATAGGAGCTATAGGATTTAATCCCTCCAGTGTTTGTCATCTTTACTGAACGTTATACAGACAATATATTATAAATATGTTAATCTATTACAATTTTTAATGGAATAAAATTTTAAAATATTTTTTTGTGGACTGTGTGCTAAATATTTTTTTTTCTTTTCTTTTATAGATATTTAATACAAGGCTGTTTAAAATAAAAGAAAGACACTTGTTTCTTGCCTACTTAGGAAGAGCACAGTACGAGCCAACAAAGCCTAATTACGTGTCTTTGGACAGATTGGTATCTATTCCTGATGAAGTATTTTGTGAAGAGCTTGCAAAAGCCTCAATACAGGATTTTGAAAAATTCTTAAAGACTCTTTAGTTTTTGATAAATGTTAAAATGTAATAATTTAAATTATATGCAAATAAATTACTATTTTAAATAAATACCCGAAGTCCAGATTAATATTGAAGGCCGTTTCTTGATATTATCAAGTTGTTTACACTTCTGGTAAGTTTCATCCAAGTTTCTTATGACTTAAATCTTTGGCTCACCCATTGCCTTCCTTTTCTGGATGAGGAGAATGAAAAAATATAGCAAGCTTAAAGAAGAGAGAGTTGGTTTACTGTAGGCTAGTGTTTTGCCTTTGGTTGCCCATCTCTCTGATGAAAGTTCTGGAGATGAGAACACTGGAAGATATTCCCACTCTTATAACAATGGGCTGAAGCACAGCAGTGATTGTCGGGATGGCATGAGACCAGGCATCTCATTCTAGGGTAATGGGTGTACGTGGATCAGAGACAGTAAGGTTATCAGCTCAAGATAGGGCAGGGTTCAGGGCTATTGTTCATAGGGTCAGTAGATGACACATAACAACAACTGTGAGTCTCAGAACCACCTGGACAGCATCTAGCAATAATATTGCTGTTGTGAACGATCCTGAAAACTAGAAAAGTTTCTGTTTAAAACATGTCCATCTTAGGACCACAAGGCCTTACCTCACATTGTCTAGTGATTCAGGTTGGTAGGGCCTCCACATGGGAATTTTACAAATCCATGGAAGAGTGAAAGGATAAGACTTGCTCTTAAAAATTTCTCACCTTTTGCTTCTTTCCAATTTGTACGCTTTTAGATTTATTTTCTTGCATAACTGTGTAGGTAGAACTTCCAATAAAATATTGACAAACAATGGCCTGGATTGTTTCTGAATTTAGGAGGCAATCTTATAGTTGTTCAGTATTAAATATGATGCTCACTGTGGGTTATTCCATTAATTGAATTTTGTTTATTGAACTGAGTTTTTTAAAGGAATATCATGGTAAGTATAACAACAACAAAAAGACATTCTAATTATTTTAAATATACACTTTAGTAACAATTACATTCATGTTGTAAAATCCCACCACTATTTCTAAGCAAGTTTTTTTTCCTCACTCCAGACAAACTCAGTATTCCTTAATAACTACTTATTTCTTCTTCTCAGCCCCTGATAATCAGTAATAAATTTTTGCCTCTATTTGGCTATGTTAAAAGTAAAAGAAAAGCAACAAACCAAAACACCAACTTCTCATGCTTTTTTGACCAGCGTGTTACATGTCCAATGAAGGGATTTAACAGTTCTACCATGTCCTGCTGCTGCTGTTGTTGTTAGAAGCCATGCAGTCAACCATGACACATTGAGGGACATTTTGTATAGTGGATCTAAGCCTTGCTCTATCCTGTGCTATCCTCATCTCTAATATACTGAGCCCATTGGCAAAGTTACTGTGTGGCTCCATATTATACAGGGTCTTCTCTTTCCCTGACCTTTTGCCTTTCCAAGCATGATGTTCCTTGTCTAAGGATGACCTCTCCTGACAACATGACCAAAGTATGTGAGATGAAGTTTCACCATCCTTGCCTACAAGGAGCACCTTGGTTTCTCCAAGACGTTTATTCTTTTTGCAGTCTGCAGGATAGTCAGCACTCTTCAGCATCACAATCCGAAGGTATAGAGTCATCCTTCATCATCCAACTTTCAGATGCATAGAAAATAATTTTAAAGTTGGTAGCTTGGATCAGTGCACCTTGGTCTTTAAACTGACCTCATTGCTCTTAAGCACTTTGGAGACGTACTTGACAGCATTATATCAAGGATCTTGATGGTAAATCCAAGTACGTCTAAAAACTCCCCTGTGGGATCAGTTATGAGACTCAATGGTAGTTAACACTAACTGCCCTTGGACAAGTCACCCAAACTTCCTACGCCTCAGGTCTCTCTTCTCTATGTTTGCATGGAAATCAAATGAAAATGCCCGTGGAAAATTTAGCACTATGTTGTTGCTTAGCACTAAAGTCTTGATACAGCACAGCAGAGATTTGACAGTTGGTGCAGGATTCAGCAAGGTTTCCATCTATTTGTACATAGGGTGGCATCGAGTCAGAATCCACTGTTTAACACCTAACAAAATTTAAAAATAAGTAACAATCTAGGCCAGAGCCCAGGCTTTGTCACTGTCACAAAGAATACTTCTCAGAATGAGAATGAAATAAATACCCTATTGGCATCCCTGGCGTACGCCCTTCCCAATTTTGAACCATGCAGTGTTCCCTTGCTCTGTTCTGACAGTTGCCTCCTGGTTCAAGTATAAGTTTCGCATTAGAATGATCAAGTGTTCTGGGATTCCCATTCTTCTCAAGAGTCAGCGATAGTTTGTTATGATCTACACAGTCAACTGCCTTTGCATAGTCAATGAAACAGACATTCCTCTGGTATTCCCTGCTTTCAGCTAAGATCCATCTAACATCAGCTACTCTCTACTACCACGATCCCTTCTAAACCCAGCCTGGACTTCTGGTAGTTCTCTGTTGATGTGCTGTTCCAGTCGTTTTTGGATAATCTTCAGTAAAATCTTGCTTGCACGT